CAAGCTAAATATTGAAGCTAAATAGTTTAGAAAGGGGAAAAAAGCGAATAGAAGTATAACAATATGGTAGTAATGAAAGTTAACGTTATTGCTTCTAGTTATAAAGCATTATCATCATTATGTAATTAATATAAGCTTATGGTATTCATTTAAAGTGCTGATATAGTCTATGAAAGTATATATCTATATATATACTTAAAAATATGATTTTCGCTTTAAAAGTGGAATAAACTGTTAAATAGTCATAGGTATATAAAACACATGATAATCACTTTGTTCTGAAGTCCCAATCTAGTAACTTTAGCGAGAAAGCTACGAGTTTATTTTTCCATTTGTACTAGTAAGAAAAATCCGTAAGCGTTACCAGTGAAATGATGATAGCACACAATAAGCTACCCAATCAGAAATATGCAAGTGGAGAGATTCTTGTAAAGTATATGGATATTTATTCGCGCTGTCCTCAGTTTATGAAAGAGTTTGCTCCTTGGCAAGGCTTGTCCAATATTTGACATCCTTTCGGTCCTCGTTTGGTACCTGAAAGGAATCATAAACCTTGCACATGATATTGTTCCATACTTTGGTGTACTGATTTTCATCCAAAGTTTCATCAAGTGTCAAGTTCTCAATACAACTATGTAAAAGAACATTATCCTCTACATCATTCTTTACCTTTACGTATGACCCACTCTTGTAACCATTGAGCTGTCGAATGAAATTCAAAGTGTGTTTGGCTATGTAATATGCAACAAGGTTAAAGTTAAAGTCTTGTGCTGCACATATGATGACTTCTGTGATAATATCAAAGCGATATATATTAGCAAGCTGAATTAGGTTTCGAAAGGTCGCTAAGGCGTTTTCAGTGTTGCTTAGGGGAAGAAAAGCCATTCCGTTCACGGCTGTTGTATAACCAGTAGTCTTAGGCTTGAAAGGTATAAACGAGTCGCTCAGATTTATTTTCGCGATCATGGCAATTTTATCAGAGACAATGGATTGTACCATCATTGCCCCAGAAAGTGAAAAGTGAAAGATATCCACCAACTCAATACGGATATTATTAAAGTCCGGCTCTGAGGAAATGTTCTTCCACCATTTCCATGGGTATGAATCGATCAATTCCGCGGTCTCCATAGTGATAGCCAAACTCCAGTCGTCAGGAGTTCTAACATTCCTCCATGAGTGATCAATCATCGCATTCAGACCATCTTGAAGTTGTACAAGAGATCCAAATATCAATGAAGAGAGCTTTGTTGATGTAGTATGTTTCATTGTTGAACTTTTTTTCTTGAGAATAGAATTCCTTACTCGAAACTATAAAAATGAAAACAAAAATGAAATAAGAATAAATACTCGTTGGATCATAATATTAAAATGCTGCGAAACTGCAAGTAACAGAAAAAAACCCCGCACTAGCTAAGCTTAAAAACCAAAACAACAGAACTTCTCACATTTTACCTTGACTTAAGTGACCGTAATAAGCTAAATATATATATATGCAAAATACCGACGGCGTATCCTTCCAAGACCCATGTGTAGGAATCAGATCCGGGGGGTCCCCCGGGGGGAGGGGGGATGGGAGTATAACCCCCATTAAAAAAAAACGTAGGTCCAAAATGCTCCCATATCCCCAGCGCGTGGTAGTGGTTGCATCCGTCGTGAAAGCCCCGTATGCTTTGGGAAAGTGCATGCGCCAATTTAAGTCCATTACGGGAAAGTTAAATTTCTCTAAATGAAATAAATGCGCACTCCCCCCTTCCTTCTCACCCTAATTTTTCAAAAGGCTCTGAACAACGAATTTTTTTTTTGTCTAATTATTTTGTTTGTGGACTAACATCCTTTTGTGAAAATTACTAGCCATATGTAAGGTGACAACCTTTAGCGCAACATGGCGCATGGCAGCGCATGCGTGCTCAACGGAAAGGTGTCCGAGTTTTTTTATGCTTATATCTATCCACGGGACGTGTCCTCCCTGGCGCAGTCGGCAGCGCGTTAGGCTGTTAACCTACAGGTCGTTGGTTCGAATCCAACGGGAGGAGCTTTTTTTAATTAATGAGCCGCCCTTATCCTTCCTTCCTAGAAATCCCAAGCAAAAAGGAAAAGCAAATACCCAAAGCATTTCGAGGAAATGTCAACCAGAAGCTATCCTTCGTGATGCTTGAAAAAAAAAATTTTCTATTTTGTGGCTTATACGTTTTCTGCACAGTTCACTACAATAATGGCTGAACATAACTAAAAAGCAGCTCACGCATATTCGCTAAGGTCACGCAACTTGTTGCAGTCACGTCAGACTCATCTGTTTTTTCATCATCTTCTTCGTCTTGCAAATGTGAAGTACCCACAAAGTCTGCAAGATTGATTGACTTGAGCGCACGATCAACTCGATCCCGCATAAAGTCTGAGGTTAGGGCTGAAAAAGCATGTGAATCACCCAACTTGTCCTGGAAAAAACACTGCACAATGCTAAGAAGTGTGTTGGGGAGATAGCATTCCCCACGCATGGATGTATTCACGGCGGAGGGATTGGCAGCTGCTGTGGTAGTATTTGTGGTGTTTGGCCTGCGCACGTTTTGCGAAGGCAACGAATTCTTGGCGCTACTATGCGTCACCGGAGTGGTGACTATAGAAGGAAAAGCATTCATAGTTCCAACCAGGCTACCCCCCTGTACTCTTCCGACGCCGCCGCTATTACCGAAAAGCCCACCCACAGCGGTAGGAAAGCGTACATCACCCGTTGGGCTTACGGGATAACGGTCTGTCTGCATGGGATGGACCATGCCACCGGCGCACGACTTATTGGATCCCGAACCTGTGAAGGCCGTTTTCGGCTGCCGCAGAACGCCGCTTGTGGTGAACCATTCTAACATCGCCAATGCATTTACACCGTCTTTACTGGCTGAACTCACATGGGGCGACAACGTTTGTGAGGCCGGGATGGCCCTGCTACTGCTTGTCGGACACTTTCCTGGTTGAGCCTCGTCGGCGCTAGCCTTGGGCTCCACTGGGACAGACATCCCCCCGTAAAAAAGAGGCGACCAGAACCGCATGAAAAGTGCGAAAAAGAATAATTGCTGGCGGCGCACAAGTTCATCAGCACGCCATTCAGCACTAGACTTGCATGCATATACCACGTTCCAGATTGTGCTATGGCACAGCGCATCCGTTAGCAAGCGAACCACCAAAAACTGAAGCATACAAATGGCACCAACGTAGTTGCCACCCCCTGCGCAAAGGGCTGCCAGGGCACCGTCGTCAGAGGGCGCTACACAGCCCTGCACCGGGTATTGTGCCCTCTCTCTACTCATCGATGGGATGCTCTTTCCTCGAGAAGAGGCCTGCTGCTGCCCCATGTGTTCCCCCACGCGTATATTCAGCGCGTAACTTGGCACCAGAAACCTTTCCTGAAACAATGTTAGCAAATGTAACGATATTTGAACACACCAGTGAAAGAGAAAAAGCTCATCCTTGCGGTCGAATCTTTCGCCAAGGGGAAACTCTGGATAACTAAGGAGGGCACTACGCACTGTCCACACATTAGAAAACTTCTGAGCAGTGCCGTTGACATGCTCAAGAGCGTCAGTAAACGAAGACGTGCCCATCGAAATTAGGAGATGATGGACACTGTAATCATGTGGTGTGCAGTACTTTGTGTCTAAAATTTCAAGAAGAAGAGGAAGCAGCTTCTTCTCGTCTATTTGCGCTGCAAGAGACAACTCAAGAGAAAAAGGCGGTGCCGCATCAGGCATCGACACGTCTGCTAATCCCCGGAAAGCAGAACCTTTTCCTTGTGTATGTTTCCCGCCGGCTTCGTCCTTCACGCTATCACACCGAGCATTGAACTCTACCACTGGTATCGACACAATAGGTGTGTCGCCATCATCACTATGGCAGTCGTTCGAAGCTGATCGCTTACCGTCGCTCTTTCCTGCAGCACCCGGTGACCCTAGGAGGGAGCCGCACATGCCCATCGCGCAACTCCTAAAGCTGTTGTTAATATACGCGTCACCAGCGGCGGAGACCGCGCTTTTCAGTTGTCCGGATAGATGCCTTCCACTTGCGTTACTTACAACACCTAACGACTCAGAGCGTGAGTGCAGAATATTAAAGCCGCTTGCGATACCAAACCGTGATGATTGGGGCGAACTAGGTTTGCCCAAAGAAGCATGTTTTGCGGGGCCTCTGCCGACAGCTTTCGTATCTACCATAGTATTACCCTCGTGGCCAGCGGTGAATATCGGGGACTTCGGCTGGGGTAGACGCAAGATCACTGTGGCAGCAGAGGCAGGCAATAACCCCTTGGCGTTGTCGATTCTGTAGCCCAGTGATAAGGTGGTTGCCAGCCAAGTTTGCACAACCTCCGGAAGCACACGCTGCAGACTCTCAAGATGTCGTGAGCGGAATGAGACGGCTGGGTCGCCCAAGAGATGCCCTACAGCACCACCCAGGACCAGGTACGATACCCACACGCTGACGCTTATGACATCCGAGAGCAAGGCGCTACATCCATCGAACACCCACCCGGGAGATTTGACCGGGTCGCTGAAGAACGGTGACTTCATATCAGAATGTGTCTGTGTCGATGGCGGGAATAAAACCCTCTGACAGGAGCTGAAAGTTTCTGAGGACAAGAATTCTATCAGAGCGTACCGCTGTCGTAATGAGGTACACAAGAAAGCGGCACACAAGTCGTGCAAAGTGAGGTCAAACGTCTCAGCGATGAGGGCATCGCAAAAAATCAAGCTAGTTCTAGTCTGCGGCGTTTTTTCGTCTGTATTGCGTCCAACTCCCCTATTTTTCTCGTATTCCCCTTCATTAGATACACGAGCAGCCATAGAGTCATCTTTAGCAGCCTTTCCAAATTCCCTAGAGTTTGGCACCTTGGTTCGTGTGCTTGAGTTATTGTCGGTGCTGCCGGTCGATTTCCACTTCTGACCCCCCATTGCAGCAGCAAAGTGCACCACAGAGTGCACGAACAGATCATGTACGCTAGTGCAGCCATTGGCGTAGCGCATGAATCTAAATCGCTCCGGGAGCAGAAGTGAGGAGGAGGCCATATTGCTACTGTCACCATCTTTAGTAGTAGCGTTTTGTTTGTTCTCAAAGAATGGTTCATTTCTTTTCATTGCCCTTGTTTTGGGACTCTGAACTGATGCACCGGGTGATGCCGCAGAGTGGTGGCGATCAAATAAATCAGAAGCAGCTGGGCACAAGAGCAGCTGGATGGCTCGCATGTGTGGGCCTCTGGGCATGCCTTTAACGATTTGAAGTAATTCGTGGGACCGCGCGTTACTTTTTCGGGCAGCGTCTGCGCATATAGATGGCGCGTACTCAGCTGCATTTGTCTTGTACATGTGCAGTGCACTTGTGACAAGGTATTCTAGCATGGCACGACCGGTACTCTCAAAGCGTGCCTCGGTTAATCGCGTAAACTCAGCCTCCAGCACCATCAGACCTGGTGTCAGGTATTGAAGTGTGAGTGTGTTATACCCCGCAAAGCCGTCTAATGTGAGTCCGTACAGCACGTCCACAACCTTGGTTAGCACTGCCACCGCGTGGTGAATTTGTGAGGGGTCACCGCCGACAGTTTCTGTGCCGTAGCTAAGCACATGCGGTGTGAGAAGCTCTCGGGCGAAGTACACGACATTTTCACGCACCCAGAGAACAGCCGCCGAGTTCGGAGGCACTTGATGATTCACCCCTTTGTTGGTACTGCCGCCTTTAAGCAACAAGGGCGCTTTCGTTGCTGTCTTGCGCGTTTCGTCCAAGGATATGCCCAAAGTATGCTGTCGCTGGAGAATCGATCGAATGGCGACGACTAAGAATTCCACTGTCACTATGCTCGCATGCTTCGGATCAGCATTGTCATGCAGCTTACGCAATTCATACCGTAACCACGTTGATTGAAGTGCCAAATATGCTGAGGACGCGCTTTTGTGTCGCCCAAACCTTAATAAAAGCTGAAGGGAAGGTATGTGTACGCTCTCAGCGTACAACATCGTCATGGGTACGTGGTTAAGGCTGTCGAGGATAGAGCGAACAAGCGCCGATTCTAACTCGAGTAAAAGCGGTAGGCAACCTTTGCGCTCCGCCTCGCCACCCAAGCTGCGAAGCAGCTCCGCAGCTTCGGAGTGACGCCGCTCTGACAACAATTGAGCCACCTCTTCCTTCAGAATGTCGCCATACATTTGTACCTCCGTGAGCTGTGACTCTGAAGGTTTGTGTTTGGAAATTGATTTCCCATCATCATCGCGAGAAGCAGAAATGCCGAGGCCCTTACTGCTTCCTTCTTCACCTGGAAAGTTGGTGGTATCAGTTCTCTTACTAATATAACCTTCCCCATTGCCAATGGTGTGCTGCCACTGTGCAAATGATCGAATGTTCAAGGAGCGGGTTGTGGGCCAAGACGATGTGACAGTTGAAGGCGGTACGGCAAAGAAGGAGCGGTCGCCGGGTGTTCTCATCGCATCAGAGAACCTACACGTAAGATGAGTTTTAGCTCTCTCAGATGTAGCATTTGGTTCCATATTTTTGCTAGTGCTTAGCCGTGCTCGCTTGTACAAATTTGTCGCAACACCCCCAATATTTACTCCATCTGGAATCATAGAGCCATTCCCACAAATGCTTCCACCACGCTCATCATAAGCATAGGAGCAACGGGACACAAGGCTTGGCCGCTGACGCGATAACAGGCCATTTTCCCCAGTATCGACGAAACGGGCGCTCGTGTTGTCCACCTTAGCTAGCGTCCCTGAAGAGGATGGGAGTGGTCTACCGACTGATAAATTGTTGTCGCCAACATTGAAGTAGCTAAATTTACTAATAGCCGATATGGCAGCTTTGGTTCCCTGAACGTTCGCTTTGAGCACTTCCACAAGACCGCTTGTCTTCTCCACGTCTCGAAAGAGGGCCAAAAAATCATTAGCGTGTGAAAATACTGAGGCGTGCAGGCGCTGTGCCGCAAGCGAGTAATCCTCGGAGAGTTCGTGGTCTAGCTTTAGGAAGTTTGCCTGCGTGTCAGCTATAAGTGCTGCCAGAAGATCGTCTTTCTTAAAGTTATAGACCGTCTGGACGAACGCTCCGTTTCGCATCGTTGATTGTTCTTCAGGTGACTGTGGGAGCGACTGTCGCAAAAACTCCTGGACATTAGGTGCGTATCGCCGCTGGACAAGCGCCTCACGCTCCGAAAGTACCACCGTTGTGTTGTTGCCATCCTTTTTTTGCCGTTGAAACTTTTCCAAAAGACGAGTAATATCGGATAAAGAAGATCGCGTACGCGCGTTGCGGCTTGCATCAGACCCCTTTTCTGCTGTCGCAGTGCCTGCAACCTCATCATTATTAAGACTTTGTGTGTTCTCATTTATCATGCCGTTTTCGTTATGCGTGGGGTTCTCATCGGCACCGGCCCCTACAATTGTTTGGGCACGTCTTTGACGGCGTGCATTCCTTAGTTCTTGTCTACGAACAGGATCCATAGTCAACGCTATCAAAGCCCTTTTTGCTTTTACTTGGATACACCTCCCAGCTTTGCTCCTTTCAAAGTCAAGATGCGAATACAGGAGAACTAATTTTTTAAATATATTTTTTATGAAAGACTTGCAAAAAAAATACGAGACAAAAAACCTGAAGACCCAATTTGTGAATTTTTCACTTTTCTGAGACACCCTAGCAAACTGTAGCAATAGAAAAATGACTAAGCCTCACAAATATAAAAAATATAAGAAAAAAAGAGAGAGCGTATTTGAAAAATATTGTACGTCAAACTCATGGAATATAAAACATGGCATGTTGGATTAAATCCTGGATGAGTTGTAGTTTTCATCACTTGTATGGTAAGCAAATTGCAGGGCACAGTGCTTTCCTGGCGACTGGATAAATATCCTATTGTCGGGACTTGTAATGATAATATGCAGCATGCTGGGCGTTCAAAGTCACATTTCAGGTTTTTCTCAAAACTTATAAAGGAAATGTTACGATAGTAAGGAACTCAGAGAAGCTCCAAATTATATTCCCATCATTTGTTGAAACATAGGGTGACACTTTCATGCAAAAATAGTGACAGTTTTTTTGCTTTGCGGCTCTACTGGCCCCGTCACTTTCGTATGGAGAATGTGCTGCCGCAAGAGGACACATCATTCACATTTTCACTTTGTGAGCGCAGCTCTTTCCAATTATGATATATTAAATAGGCAAATAAACAAACAAAAATACAGTGTATAAAATATTGGATAAAATTAGTCCGAGAATTGTCGAGCCACGCACACAGGTTGAAATTTTTGAAATATCTCCTTCTTCCCCTTTAGTAATAAAATTAACGAAACAATTCATTACAAAAATTCAATTTATGCCTTCTCAGAAAGTCTGTCATCATTCCAGTAAGCAAACAGTCACAAAACTTAAAGAGGAAAAAAAGAAGCCAACAAAGTCAACTCCTGAGTGCACAATATGTCGTAAAAGATTATTTTTTTCTGCTTTCATACAAGAATACAATCATAACTAATTCATATCAGAGCAACCGTGCCTAACCTCAAGACTTTCTGTCCTCCTCAGAAACGTCACTCAAAGAAATTGAACTATCGCTACTGAATAGCTCATATTTGCTCAAATTATCCTCCATTCTGTCATTTCTAAAGGCTATCAAGCAGTGCAAATTACCGGGTTCACGCTTGGATTTTGCCTTTTTTGTGATAGGGGAAGCTATAACAGGTGACGGTGCAGTCGTTTGTGCAACACGCAGACTTGATGGTCCGTCACCATCTTCTACTGCACCCACATCTGTTTTAAGACTAGTCGCCTCAAGTCCTCCCCCCGTTCGCATCGCGAAGCTAGTTGGGTTATGGACAACATCACCGCCGTTAGTACAATCCTGTGTTGAAATGCAAAGTGAGCCGCGCACAGGTGGAAGTGGTGGGGCGGCAGCAAAAACAGCTGCATCTCCATTAGTGGACGCCTTATCATCTCGCTGTGCTTGAGAGCTCACATTGCATTCAGAAGAGAGTATGGGGGCATTAGTGACCTCTTCCTGAATACATGCATTCTCATTTTCACCTTCAACCTGTTGTTTTCCCGTGGCGCTGACGCCGTGATGCCGAGCTTTTGCTGTCTTCAGCTGAACCCCTTGCTCTGGGTGCCGGATATTGAAAAAGTAGGGCGACTGGCATTCAATATCCTTCTTGATGAGCGACCATTTTCGCGCGTACATCGCTTCATGTTTTCCCCTACTGACTTCACCAATAAAAATTGTTGTTTCACAGTTTTCTGCCGCGACTTGTGGACTGTAGAAATCTGTTTGTGCGATAGGGATGACCTGATAGCCCACTGGCACCATGTAATGATTATAACAGTGATAAATCAGTGCACAACATGGGTCCGAGAGGGCTTTTTTGACGGCATCTAACACTTCCTCATCGCTTTCATACATATGTGTTGTCTTACCCTGTCCATGTGCTTTATACAATATGTACGCACTGCCAAAACCCTTCCGACCGAAGTATCGATTCAGTGCATGGAACCATCGAATCAGGGTCGTATTCCCCGTGAAGCCCCCCCATTGTATTTCCCCAAAGGGTGGTTCAAATCCGAGGATCGTCATGACCTCCTCTTGAGTAACTGGCGGCACGTGAGAATAAGCCGCAGTCTCTCCGATACAGCTATAGAGGTAATTATAAATCGAGGTTAAGGAGGTAATCCCGCAACTACGAGGATATTGCTTGCTTATACACAGGAGGCGTGGCAGGCGTAGAACTAGGCGCTTCTCTAGGTCAGCACGCTTAGTGTGCAGATTAGTTGGAACAATAGTGTTCCTATCTTCAAGGCCGTCTACATTGACTACATGAAGCGCATGCACCGATGTGGAAACAGCGGCAATGTTTCCTTCGCTGTCCGTTGAAATATGACTTTTCTTCTGGCTACAAGAGTGTTCCTCTTGTGAGCCTTTTTGTAAAGAAAGAGAGCGGTTCGTTCCGGCATCATTCTTTCTTTCTGAATGGCGTAGCCAACCTTCTAACAATGCATGCCTTTCCTTGGCACAGGTCCTTCGACGCAGTTTAGGGGTGCTGAAGTCGATACTCCACGCTTCCGCGAGTGCGTTTTGAGAGCCACTCACTGCACTAGACCCTCTTTCCTGAGTTCCTGTCGCTGGTAAGGCTTCGGTAACCTCCGATATCGCAATAGCATTACCTTCCATACGATCTTCTTTAGCATTGGAAGGTGTTTCCACCAAAGTAGTTCCAATTCGTTCGATAAATTGAAAGCCCTGGTCAATAGAAAGGGAGAAATCACTAAGGCACGCTCGAGACATGAAACAGAGGAAAAATTTACGTTTTCAGAAAGGGAGAGAGGGAATATGTATGTGTTAAAATTTTAGGCGAGCTTTCTAAAGGGGAAAAATACTCAAGGGAGACTCCTCATATCACACATTTTATGTCGGATTGCATCGTTTTGTAATCCAGTCTTGTATGTTTCTAGTAAATGATGCGTGTGAGAGGGACATTAGTGTCTTAGCTCAATCCTCAGTCTGAATAGTTGCATTCCTGTTAAGAAATTTCTTAATCTGTGCTATCCAAATTTCAGCAAGCAATAGCCTAATGATCTACAGTAAAAGATCGAATGTGATCGAAGGAGCCTTTTTCTCTACGTAACTTCCCCCTGCCACAGATAAGATTACAGTTTGCTTGTCTAGCCAGCAGGGACCGCGAACCCTGCTACCCCAAAAAGCCAGCATAACGTTTATCTGAAACCTTCAGATGGACGCACTTGATCTTTTATGAATAGACATTTTGTGAACTCTAACGCTTTTTAGTCAGTATAGCTGTTCATTTGTCTTCTCGTTCTCATACGTTGAGATAAAAAAAAAGTACAAACAATCAAAGAGAGACTAAAAGGATAGAGTTGAATTATTCAACCTTTCAAAGGGAAAAAATAAACCCGTATTACCAGGCTACCCTCGATTTTTCACACACAAACCAGGAAAAAATCTGAATAAAAATACATTAAATCTGCCAGTATGTCTCACTGACAACATAGTAGATAATTTTCCGCGACTTAGTCAGCTGCAAAGGTAAACCACCTAAGTTGAACAAATTCAATGAATGTATATATATCGTAAAAGACAGGATAAGCAATTTTATGATCAATACATACGTAGCTGCGTCATCTATTATAAGTAGAATTGGAGGAAGAGTGAGGAGGAGCCAAGAGTAGTTTGTGATAGTGTCGATTGCTTTCGCTAAATAACTATATCCTCGTCAAGTTACTCTACTCGAATTGCATCATTGTAAGCTGCGACTACGTCCTGCACTTTTCTATAAATCTGTCGATTAGATACAAGGGTTACATACTTAAGGGGTAGGTTTGTCATGGGAGAGGAGATCCGGTGATGCAGCCACTCCTCGATAGCTTCGCGATCATATGTGAAACCATCCACAGTCGTGACAGGATCACGCATAATATTTCGTGTAATCGGACAAAAACACTCTGGTGGAACGGGTATGTCGATATAAGCTTCAGATACTGCGTTGCAAACCGCTGATGCAGGCGTACTTGTGGGAGGGCTATTACTTACCTTCGTATCACTATGCTCATCAGGATGTAAGTTAATAGCGACACTTGATGGGCACCATAGGCAAGGCTTGCAAACGCGTACTACCGACAAATCAGTAAGTACGGAATCCATAAGCCCACTCGGGATAGCAATGGGTGGAGGCGGCAGCTCATAGAAAAGGCCGATGAAGGAGTTCACCAAAGACAGCTTTGGGATGAGCTTTGCTACCCACGCAACACCAGCTCCCATGACAAAGGCGAGTGCGTTCATATGGTGAAGATCTTGTGAAGTGGTTGATGTAAAAAATGCCGTTCTGGGCACCGAAGTTGTTTCTTCTACTTCGCCAGTACCCAAAAGGTCTCTCGCAAATCCAGACAACCACCATGGGGCTCGCATATCCGTGGAGTAATTGTGGAGCCAATCTATCCAGTAACCCCATACGGCACCACGCAGCTGTGCAACATCCGACCGGTAAATGAAGCGAAACCCAGACAGCGCGTATGAAAAAGTCTCTCCACCGCAGACATAGGTTGTGAAGCAAGCTGCCGATGGATGAGAAAAGGACGCGCTACCCTCGGGACTGGTTATTCGACCACTCTCATTTGTTGTTGCGATTGTTACCGACGACGATGCACGCGCCACTGGGGAAGAAACTTCTGCTTGATCATCACTAGCTCCTCTAACGATCGAGTCTTGCAAAGACCTTGATGAGACAGGAGTGAGGAAGTATGAAGAAAAGCTATGGAAAGGGAAAAGCGTGGCAAGCATAACTATAAGCGCGGAGCCAATGCCCAAAAGAAACGGCCGTTCCCCCAGCAAACCGGATCGGGGCGGTAAACGTTGCTTCAAGGGACTAAACGATGGCGCATGGAGATGCAGGAAGATGTTGGTTAGTGTGGCGCCAAGAAATCCACCAATCACATCCGTCACAGCCTCGTAGCGCTGAAAATGTTTTTTTCCAATAGAAAGGGTGTAGGCGTAGACAATGATGCTATTTAGCAAGTTCCACCTGCTCGTGTGGATAAGAAGTGAGGTCATGGATGTAGCTAAAATGATGAAAGCACGGCGGTAAGATCGATTCCTAGCGTTCGATTCCACAGACCATCCCGTCGAGCGAAGCAGGGAAACACAGAAGCGGAGCAACTGTAGTGGAAAGCGCAGCGAGTTAACCCGTGTAGCATCTTGTGAAGCACCATTAAAAGACGTGGACCCTACGCTGTTCAGACCATCGGGAGGAACCGGATCGCAACGGCTAGTGTTCAAGTTAGCTAGTGTTAGAGGAGTTTCGTCTGACGGGAACCTCATGCTCAATGTTTGCAGGAGACCTGGGAACCGTTTTGTAAGCACAAAGGCACAGACCCACACCATGGCAGGTATCGCGTACGGCTTAAAATGTCTCTCGAGGAACATTGGATCCCTCAATTTTTTTACTATTGTTTGTCTGTCACTTATAGTGTGGGGATACTTCTTGTGATTAGCACACTTTTTATTAGTTTATAAGCAAGCTCGGAGGCACAGGTAAGGGGTCAAGTAGTAATATTGAAATATATTTTACTTTTTATTACACCTCTATAAGCAAATAAATGAATGATCAAAAAAGACAGCAGCACAGACATCAGAAAATGTGAATGCAGAACTGAGATAGTGTTTATTCCCCAGCCTCCCCTTTGCTTTCCTGAACTATTCTGATTTGCAAAATTTGTCGTTTGATTTGTGCACAACGTTATAAAAAGAAAAGTAAAAGCCATACTTTGTAGTTTGAAAAACTCACACGATTCGGTCTCGAACTTTCTACACTCAAGCTTTTCTTAGTACACTTTTGTTCACATTTCAATTCATACAATTCTGCGGCACTACATCAAGGATTCATTTAGAAAACTAGATCATACAATATATTATCGTTTGAAAGCGATAAATGATGAGCAAAAAAGAAGCCTGCCCTAATGCAAGCGGTACCTCCCCCACTTCGAACTAGATACTATTATGGTGATTCCCTCCATTTAATTAATGCGAACTTGGGCTGAGAAACACCTGCCTTGATGTGATTTATTACTTCAATTGCTCGATCGAACGCTGTCTATCGACCAACCATGCCTTTCGGCATAAGGGTAACATAGTTTTTCAGTATGGTTCTCCAGCTCTTCTTGTACTTACGCAGAAACTTCATGTTGAACCGCGCAATCATGTACGCAATCTGCCCCCGTTCCTTCACTGAAAAGTCTACAAGTTGAGCGTGATGGTCCATTTCTTCCATCACCTGAAGGCGACGTTCGGACAGAAGCTTTGTGATGTCCTCACCTCCCGAGATGGCGCGTGCCAAGCTAAAGCAATCTGTGAAGCTTTGCGCATCTGCTACATCGATGGCATCGAAGCACCCGCCATGGGCCGCAAGCCCTACTTTAATAAGCCGACCACCACCCTCCACCCAATGTGGCATCAAAAACAATGGTGTGCGATACACCAACGCACTTGACTTTGTGAAATGTTGCTGCATGTGAGTGAACATCGGGCGAAACATGGTATGAGAAATGTATCCGGGAATTCCAGCCGTCCAATGCGTCACAACGTCATCCCAGAACTGCTTAGTGCTGGTGCTGCCAAGACGCGGATCCGGAGTAGAATCTGGAATAGTTATCGTTACATTGTAAAACAGCTTTGTGGCCATCATTGTAGGCCGCACCGTCATCTTGGCATCCCGCGGTGTTAGAATTTCAACAATCTCTTGAGATCCTGGTGTAAAACGTTTTTCGTACTGGCCAAGCTCCGGCAGCGGAGGGACGCATAGCTCTAGCCAACGTACTGCCTTCATAAAGCTTTCTTTGTGCTTTTCAGCGTTCTCAGCGCGCTGCTGGAGTTCCTCGTTTGATATGGTCAGTTCAGGAACCAGACCCTGATTTCGGGCGGTGCAAATAATACCAAGGTAATCTTGCTGAACACCACTCGAGAAATGCACACGAACACCACCATTCTCCAATGCATCCAAACCACCCCGATCAATCTGCGGTTTCGCAAGCACGTGGCAGCTATGGGGGCCTTGGTGACACAGCGACAGCAGCGCGGATTCCACCTTGAGTCGATCACAGCAAAAAAAAGTCGGGCTCTCTCCCCTTTCGCGAAACTCGTTCAAATCGATATCACACATATCGTTTCCCGCATAATCAAAGGTGAGGATACGCCCAATGACGCTACCGGAGGGGACAGAAACGTTTAGAACATCGCCCATGAGCTGCGTCACGGACGGGGTTAGCGTAATCGTTCCACGATCTAGATCGTCACTCGATGGGTGATAAGCCAAATCGCATTCTAGACCATGGACGCGCAAACAAAGCGCCATAAACGGGGCCATGAGGCCATCGCCTACCACTAAGTACTTGACTTTTGAGGAAAGTGCACCCGCCTGCTGGATATACTGGCTTAATTCACCCCTACGACGAGCGCCGAATGATGTCAGGGCATGCTGGCGCACAGTCTTGCTGTTGCTACCTGATGAATGAGGCAAAGGGCGTTTGCTGCCCGCTGCCAGCGCCCGACTACCGTACAAAACCATACGCCGCTTATGTTCTTTACTAAGATTCAGAACTCCCGATTCCATTTCTTCTCTTGCAGAATTTGCTAGCTCAGTGAACGAGGAAGTGTCTGCCGAAGGCACATCATAGGTTGATTCAACGAATTCTGTTGCCGTTGGATACAATGCAGTAGAGGCCTCCTCAGCATGTGATTCTGTCGAGGCTGAAGACGACAACTGTCTGCTAGGGCAGACTTCATCCCCTTGAGGTATGTTTTTTCGTTGTCGTTCGTTGCTAGAGACATTTTGATTATCATTCTGTGATGACATTTTCTGCGGTCCTCTGTGACCAACTAAAAACGGATCCTACAAACAAAAAACGAATAAAAAACTCGGGAATAATTAAGAAGACATATGATAAATAGACCTTAACTCGGAAAGATAGTGGGATGTAAGAGGGAAAAGGGTCTCCCCCCTCCTCCCGCATCCCCCGTTTCCGCTGAAATAAGAGGCCCCATATGAGTTTCGGATGCCAACATCCTATGCTGTCTTTTAATTCAGCCGATGATGGAATTAAAAGATAGCTAATGTGAAGACGAAGAAAATCATACACAATTCGTGTAGCCCATTCATACTCCTATTTTGTCATCCCCCAAAGAAGGGATAAATTGAAGAAAAAACACTGAATTTCGATAGAATGTACATTTCCGTATACTTAGGCATCTTGTGAAAAAGAAGTGAGGAGGAAAGAGTGTTTTAAGATAAACAGCTGTTCTTCTTATTCATGACACTGCATATGACCACCTGCATCCTTGCCCATACATATTATTGCGCACTGTTAATAAAATATATTGATGAATATTCGGCTTGCATTGCCACCCTGGAAGAAGACTTTCACTACTGCGGCATAGGCTTATTTTTTTCAGGTAACGACGCCACGCTCAGGTCGAGCTCCATCCCGACTTCATCCGTCGTTAAAGGTTGTGGGCTCGACAAGCTACAGAGATCCATTACCACCTTCATGGTATTCAGATCTTCGCCTTCACAGTAAGGATTACTAAATGGGTAAACCTTGTAATACTTAGCAAAGTTATGGCGCACAGTTTCGTACACCTGCTGGTAAGCCCCACACGGGTAGTTTTGTTGCAGTACGTAGCCGTGTGCCTGCCAATACGTTACGGGAGGAAGCACAGCGAACCGGTCGCTATCTAGCTTACTGAAAATTTCGGGTTTCATTGAGTAAAGCAGAAGCTTGCGATTCTTGTAGAAATCGTAGGCCCACTTCTCCATGTAGCGAGCTGCGATGTTCAAGCCAAGGGAGCAACAACTCGTGAAGAGGGCCTCGTCAAAGCCAAGGGAAATCCGCAAGCGGTTTCGCAGTCGCCAGTCCGGCTCTTGATTAATTTCCTCAGGTGATTGAATCCCATTGAGCCACTTCCTAGGGGCTCCAAGCGCCAGGTGTAGTACCTCGTTATCTGGAAACGTGATCTCAATGCGACGCTCAAACGCATTTAAACTGCATTCACCCATTTTTTCTTGCAATAGCGAGCAAAACTCTTTCACGTAATTAGGATTGGTCTCAGCTAGCAGGGGGTCCGTCATCGAGGAGTTTATTAGCATATCACACTGAAAGGGCTTCCGATTTTTCACAAAGGCTGAGAGCTCTGCTTCCTTTCCAACGAATAAGCGCAAGGCATCATGAGTCAGGAGGTAGTAGTTGCGTGGTAATGGAAAACTCATTACTTTCTACTTCCCTTGTATGCCTCACAGTGCAGATACCCTATTATTATTTTCTTGAATGCAATACCTTTCCTTTCAAACACTCCCTTGATTCTTCAACTAAGGCCATACGAACTCGAAAACCCACCAAGACCTTTATTAAAAAGCAGGAGACGTCTGAGGAAGGGATTCAGGATATAAGCAAAAAAAAAAATATCCATAAAAATAAAAGTTGAATGTACCTTCACACTTGGCAACACGTTGCGTATGCAGTTTAGCATTCAAGATTTAATGGAATGAAATGCAACGCGTAAAACAAATATATAATTCTATTTAAAGGATAAATTTCTTATGGAATAGGGAGTATTGCCCTGCAATTCATTTCGTTCCAAATTTTCTCTTACAGCAAGGAGAACAAAGTATCAGCATAAGAAGTTTTCTATCTAGCTTAAGATAAAAGCGCCCAAAAAGATATTTTATTCAGACGCTCAGTCTATCAAAAAGAAAAAGAAGTTTCACATCTATCGACTCATATTCTGTTCATTATACGGGTACTTTTGGTGAAAGCTTCGCAATACCACGAATAATAAGATTATCTAGCTCACTCACATTTTCCAGAACTAAATTGTGTTCATTGGCCAAGAAGAGGATAGAAAAGAAAAAAAATGCAGGAGACAGTGTTCCCGTTGAGCTGATGCTCTGGACGACAGGCAGCAGCTTACCAACAACATCGCTAAAACGGAGCATGGAAGATTCTGAGGCTGCCTTGTCTGTGATTTCCATATTTCCATCCCCTAGATCATTTACCTTATTAACATTACTAACCCCCGTGACGTTGAGACTCCTTTCTCGACCGCTTTCTTCATTCTCTTTGCATTCTTGCTCTTGCATGCGATTTAGATCTGTGTGTTGTTTCTTTTTCTTGAGCGGCTGAAGAATCGATTGCATGTGTCGCTTCAGCATACCAAACTCTCGATTTAGATTGCCTTTCGCGGTGGGTGGTTGATCAGATTCCTCGTCCTCTTGATGGGAATCAGATTCACTCTCTCCGACCTCACTTTCCTTTTTGGAAGGTTCAGCTGCGAGTAACTCCGGGTCCTTTTTCTTTAAGCCAGCCCCCAGTAATTCCTGCACGGCCTCCCACATGACCTGGCGCAACCTCACCACGTCTACCTGCGTAGGCAAGAATGCTTCGGGTGACCGGAATATGCGCACGAGTTCCATAGGATCCAACTCCGCGCCGGTGCCACTTCCTATGGCCCCCTCCTCACTTTTGCTCGTCCGAGTCGACGAAACCACCGTCGCTGCTGCTGCTTGAGCTTCGAATTGCATGAGCAGTCTCTGATGCTCCTGATGTTGGAGCTTGTCAGGGTCGTAGTCGTCGCTTCCGGAATACTCCAACTCTCCACCAAGGTCGTAGCCCATGTAATCCTCCTCGCTCCGCTCCGCGAGCAGATCAGCACCTGTGGGGAAATACTCCATCGGCATATCGTAACCGAGGCAGCCCCCTTCACCGGTGTCGCCATCATCATAACGCTGCTGATCGACACCATTTAAGGCTGCATGATCGCCCTTAGCACACCCAACATTGAGTATTGAGGTATTCCTCGAGCGGGTACCGATCATAAGCTGTCCAGATGCAGATTTGCGTAGCAAGTTCCACTCAGAAACAGCTGTTGAGAAAGGCTGAAAAAAGCTTGGGATATCCACTGGGTAAGGTAGGTAGCCTGGTATTGTCTTACCAGGAACAGGCGGGGGCGGCAACACAAGATTAGCTTCCTCGGCCTTGCTACGCTGTACGGAGCTTTGCGTATAGGCTAGTACCACGCTTGAGGCGTCCTTGTGAATCAAGACTTCTTTCCCTAAAGGAGTCATGTTCTTGCCGACGGTGGTACTCTGCTTCAGTACACTGCTAGTCCCATTAAGGCGGCTTGGGTCCGTCGAAGGAATGGGGCATGCAGTCCTTGAAAGAGGGTCAGAAGAAAATTTGGCTGTATCGCCAAGGTCGAACACGACGGTCCGCTCTTTCTTCGGACGCTTCGCCGGCGAGCCCACATTCATGCTACCAGTGGCACCTGCTATTGCGCTTGATTGCAGCTGTTTTCTCTGAGGCTGACTGAGCAATTTGTGCTCACGATGCAATCGTGAAAGCTCCGAACGGGGAGCCGTACCAAGCAATGAATGCGAATGAGATGGGATATCTGCAAGGGAGCACCATGAGGAAGGGTCCTCGGCTTCTAAAGCAAGTTGCTGTACGGTCCCTCCAGCTGCACTACCGTCTCCAACTGCAGCACATGGGTAAACAAACCGAGAATCCATAGTTTGCATTTCATAAGCACCTGATACCAACTGCACCGCAGCCTGATCCGCATTGAGAGCGCCAGAATTTCCATCTTCCTGAACAGCACCTCCATCTGCTTCGTCCCAGTAATCGTTTCCGGTAAAATCATACCCGTCGTCGTCCACATTCGCAGATTTTCCGAGAGGACCCTGTGAAAGACTTTCAGCATCGCCAACATGGCTAGCGGCAAGCACAGAGGGGCCTGAAACCATGGGATTATCTATCGCCGGTAAAGCTGTTTCCGTTGAAATAATTTCGTGTTTGATCGCCGCATGTGATAGTGCTAAGAGCTCACTCACAGCATGCTCTCTGATACTACCGCGCACACTCTTGGATTTGTTACTACTTCCCGCGTCACTTATGCGGCCGTCGCTGGCGGACTCCGGGAATGGTGATGCGATGTATTCCGGTAGGTCATCCACCTGGGCGTCAACCTCAGTGTCCTCTTCGACACAAGCCCATGATAAACGAGGTGTTTTCAGTGCGTCATCGGCTTCTTCACTCTGATCCGTCTCTGCATTATTTTCCCTTTTTACCCCAGTAGCTGCTACAGCGCTGTCACTTGCACGTCCAGAGTCGCGCCCTGAATGATTTTTGCGCTTTCGAGACGAAGACTCAGCCCGAACGTCCTTACCAACATAGCGTGAATAGTCAATGTCAAGGATAAGGTTACCCATACTCCCCAATGGTGCGTTGTTCATTAACAACCCATGTGCGTTACCCTGGTCAAACTTCTCTGTGATAGCGCGAAACTGGGCATTGATACCGGTTTGAGTGAGAGTCGTTCTTGCCTTGCTATCCAGGTTAATCTCTGCAGCATTGAGAGCCAGTGTGCGTGCCAGTGTTGTGGCCACAGCGTTCCCCTTTTTGGTCTTACTTTTTCCTGAAAGCACATCGTTACCGCTCTCTTCTTGTCCCCCCTCCTCCTCGTTGCCATTCGCAGTCGTGGTATCGTCATTCCGAAGTAAGCGTCGCACCATTTGATTACTTTGTTGATATGTACTGTCCACCCGAATGGTCCACACCTTTGAGCACCCCTCCACCACGGTTGCTGCTTTTGTGAACCCCGAGTAATCGTCCGCTGCGTTGGCCTCCAGTGTACTTTCGATCGTGTGAGTGATACCTTCAAGCAAGTCACTCGCTTCCTTCGAGGCCCAGGCATTTTTGCTGTTGATACGACCCTCGATGGCCTGATTGAGAGCCAAGTCGAGATCCTGAACGGTGTGAAAACGAGGACGCTGTCGCGGGAGGTACTGAGAGGAGCCTGACAGTGTTAGTTGACTTGGCTTTGGTGATCGTGCGGGGGAGCAGCTGCGTGGGGCGTCGGTCCCTGCTTCATCTTCAAAAATAACGGAGGCGTCAATATCCAGCGAGGCTGCGCCTGTACTTCGGTAAGAATGGTGCTCACCACGCCGAAGGAACTTCGCTGCCGAGTTACTGTGCCTCCTCATCGTCGAAGTCGAGTTACTATACACTTATTACTGAGTCACAGAAACTTGCATTCTGAAATACAAGAATCAAGATGTATGAGAGTAAACAAGGAGTGAGGAGGCGGAAGTATTCATAAAAGTAGTGAAGCGTAATCAATGAAGGTTTGCTATTAGAGCCAGATTAGAATTGAAGCACTGAATTTAACCTAATAAAATGGCAAAATAAAGAACGCCAATGATGCAAGTAGGATATTATATTATATTTATTACTTCCCCGTTATAGGCAAGAACAGCGTACTTGAAGTCGATTCAGACCTCTGAGAATGACAAGAGAGTCATACTGGAGTAAAAAATGTTGTCCACAATTTATTGCAATTGTCTATCTTTTAGCTAGCTTCTGCTATACGTATGAAAACTCAACGATAAGCCTTGACAAAAGAGAAGACGAATAGCTCAAGAGTTAGATACTGAAAGGGGCTTCTGTGAAATCTATCTCTAATCCAATTCACACTTTGTACCGATATATCCGTATCAATCCTCACCTTTTTAATCTGAAATTACGATTTAGTCCATTTTGGGGAATTGCATTTGGAAGAGCTTTTGTTGCAGATCACAGCTATTCGAGAAAGCAAGTGTCACTCCAGCAACCCGACTGGAGCGTACCTGCATACGGAGTATGTTGCCCAAATTCACAGCATCCACAAAACAACGACATGGGCGCTTGACATGATCAAGCACCTCAAACTCGACAACATCTTCTTGATTCAAGTGAACAGGTTGCCAATGCGAGGGTGACACAACGTTGCTACCCACCACCTGAATCAATGGTACACCAACGGGAATTGGGGAGGCCCCAACCGCGCGACTATAGGCGGTGCTCCCCGCTGCCGTGGAGACTAGTACACCATCCGCACGCAGCCCCTTGATCCGCTCTTCACCATTCACCAGGATACGAATAAAGGCAGACTGTCCAGATGAGCGCTCAACCCAAGCGTCGTTGAAGGCCATTTCTGAAAGTAACACGCGCTCCGACTTTTTTGTCTCCTTCTCGGCTTGACAGTAAAGCATATTAGTGCTGTTCATCATTAAGGGACACAAAAAAAGGTCTTCAAGGGCGGAACAGTCGTTGAGGAGATACCCAACGTGGCCGGCATTAACACCGTAAAAGGGAATAAATCGCCGCCAATTTTTTCGAATGCAGTGCATCATATAGCCGTCACCGCCAACAGGCACAATCAAATCCGGCTCTTCGCCCTTGAGAACTTGGAAAACCTTTAGCGCCTCAAATTTTTCACGGGCTATCGGGTTATTCTTGTCGTAGTGTAGCTCTAGGCGTGGTATTATACTCTCAAAGAAGACTCTTGTGATATTGCGGTGTGAGGAGTGCATACAACCACCAGTTTTAGATAGTGGGAGTCGTCTAGCACCACCAACTGAGCTTACATCACCGCTGCCCATGTGCGTGGACCTGGCGGCAGGGGAGGCACCAAGAAAACCAGGGGATCGGAGCCCTGGCTGATACTGCCTGAGATCAACGTTCGTCTTAACTTTGCGTGAATCTCTGTACAACATGTAGCTATCTATATACCGCAAAACGCAATCTGAAAGAATGTGAATGGGATCGATTTCTTGCTCCCATAAAGCTTGGCGGACATCGGCACCGGTAGTCCGGATGACTGAGTGCACCTCAACCACGGGCAACCTTCTGGACTCCACATTGGAAGAAGTGGCACCATGTCCACAACCAGTGCTGGCATCCCTACCCATGTTAATTGAGCTACTCGTAGACTTCCCAGACACCTGCGCATGGTCCATCTGGGACAAACCACTCCTTTCCGAATCGGTGAAGGGATACCCTTGCACTAGGGAGTTGTCCTTGGAAAGGTTAGTATGACAGGTAACCATGGTGTGGTTATGGTTCTGGTGATAGTTTAGTGGCTGATATAGCTCTTCTAACAGCTCACGCACATTACGTTGCGCATTCTGAAAAGGAACAAGACGCAAATGCTCTGGTATTTTATGATGCCCACTGATCCTGTTATCCCTACGTGTACCCCTCCCATAGGTTTCCATGTGTCGAGGTCCTTCATTTTCTGTATAAAATGTATTATGGAAGTTATGTATATCACAAACTTTTGTAGAATTCGATTCCTCGTGCGGTTGAAATGTTTCTGGCGAAGATGGAAGCACGACAGCGGAGAATATGTTTCGAAGCTCATGCTTTACCTGAGCTAGCTCCTTATGCGCCGAAAGCGTCGGAGGCGAAGAAGTTAACGGTGTAGAAGGTATTTTAAGAAGAATGGACTCCAAATCATTTATGCCGAGCTGCTCCGTCTTGATATCCGTAGCTTTTTCGTTGTGTGCTTTCTTACTGTCAGAAACCACATTACAGGGAGCATCTCTGTTGTTTATTTTGCAATCTTCATGAACGATTTTGACAAAGCCATCCGATGAGACAAGAATATCCTTTGCTTCGACCACAGCCTTAACTCTCCCATCTTCATACGTATCCAAACCTTTTGAGTTCCTCATCAGATGCAAAGGATTCGCTTCACATTTGAGGGCACCGTGTTTGCAAATATATGGGCCATGAGTGTAGTAATGGGGGTCGACGTCCACCACATCGATGCTATCCCAGCCGATCGTCGGGTTCGTTTGAGGAGTAGCACCAAGCCACGAAAAGCTCCCAGAGTTGTAATACGACTTGCTAACCTCGATATTATCGTCTCCGTGGCTGTCTCTGGTCATCCACCATTCTCTCTGATTTGCATAGTTTTGATCTGTCGTGGGTTGGTTCCCTTTAACATTTGGATCCAGAAGGACTTTAGAATCCTTCAAGTAGGTAGCTAAGGTGTTGTCTCCCTCAAGCTGGAGTTTGGTTTTGCTCAGATCTTCACATACACTGCTGGCTTTATGCTCATGACCCATGGTGGAGCTCTCGTCAGGAGGTGGTGAGTCAGGGTCTGGAAATTGTCTCCCCCGTATATCATCTCTAGCGCCGTCATCGTAGCCCGCAGTCCAATCGCCGTTACTGTAGTCCTTAGGTGATGAATACGGTCGTTTTGGAAACATTGAAACCGGCAGACTGATCGTTTTCAGGAGCATCATTGGCACTTGTTGCTTAATGATATTAAAGTTTTTCCAACGTTGCATTTCGTAGGCGTCGTGCAACCAGTGTACGAGCACACAATTCGGGTAGCGCTGCGTTAGTTCATAAATAATAGGCATACTGGCGTCCGGATGCTCAAGGGCAGTGAAGTCGACGTGGACATGTGGTAGACCGCGGACTGCTAACACCGTCAGGGCAGCAAGATTCGTAGACTGTGAAAGACTAATGGGGTAACGTGTGTTAGGAACTAAAATAATATCCTCGAAAGGGGCCAACTGACTATGATTTTGTATACTCCTAGCAAACGGCTCCATGTACTCATACTTCGGAAGCACTAGGGAGCGGGAGGGGCGTTGATGTCGCTGCATTCGCTCTTGTTGAGGTGAATCCATGTCAAGCGAATTCCGACATGAATCTTGCGAAGTGGAATGTGAAGATGGGCGTCCAAAGGCCGATTTATCTTCTGAAGACGATTTTAGTCCATCTTCCAATCCTGTAAGTGTTTCCTTGGATGAGGATGCATAAGTTTCAGGAATGTTGTGCTCCTTCGTGGACTCTTCCTGCGTTCCAAGAAGCAGCTTAAAGATTTCACGATGCTGTAGCGTAGGTGGATCTAGATGAATCGGAAAGATAGACACATATGAGGTTTTCGAAATGACGGTCGTAAGGTGTAGCAGATAGGCGGCACGACGAAACATCCCTACTAGCTATTGCTTCTCAGAAATAGTATACCTCTTAGATTCTTGATTATCCCCTAGGAGAAATATTTCCTGTCAGAGAATATTAGGTGTATAAAGACCCGAAAATAACTGTACTACTATTGAAAATGTCGAAGGATACAAGCATAAAAGGATCATGAGAAAAAATTGAGACTATTACAATAAAACGTAACCCACACAACATCCTCCTTGACCTGATTACATTTTCACTTATTCGGGCTTCGTATTCGCGGAAAAAAACTCCTCATAAAAACGACTCAATATGCTATCTGGATTGTACAGTTGCCTGGGGTCAAAACAAGCGGATACCCGTTCTCTAATGAAGTAGATTACATAACCCATAAAACTCCTCATTCAAAAAGAATGCTATGCATGCTGCAAACACACGCTTGACGCGCTATTTTCTCTCTGGCCTCTGAAAACAAAATATATCAAACCTCGAGATTGAGACAGCGGATTCGTCCCTAAAGAGAGTAGGGTAATATGCTAGGCGTAGCGCCTAATGCATTCACAGAAATTTAACAAAGGATGCTTCCATGTATTTTTATTGAGTATATTTAGTGTGATGCAGCCATTCGAGTTATTTAACCTTTCAAAATCGAGGTAAAAAAGGGAGGAAGGAGCGCAAACCGCAAACTGAAATCCTTTAATCATTAGCATCGTCATTTAAATGTACACCTGTTTTACATAAGGACTTAAGAATTGGAAGGAATGGGGGCAAAGACCAAGGCGCTCGTTTAACTCAGAGAGGAAGAAACTCGAGTCTTTCCCATCTGCTTTCATTTATTCCTCCACTTTAACAAATGCATGTGAAAAAAAACGTTATAAACATGACACGATAAAATTACATGAGTCAAAAAGTGCTTTCCAATTGTCCAGTATCTAGAACGAAGCACATTGAAAAATAAATATACCATGGGTATAAAAATCTAAAATCGGAGTAGAATAGCATAAACTGCATTACAGAGCTAAAATACAGCTAAGGTTGAGAAATTTCCATGCACATCTCTGTAATCTGTTGGTTCCTCCTTTTGGAATGAAAAAACAATAATACGAATGCCATCAGTGAATCTTGAGGCTAAAACTAGTTGCCCTATCAAATAAAACTTGAGGCTTCTCAGAGTCAAATATAAGTCTATTGGCACCAATTCTTCTTTTTCTTTTGGTTCGTCCTATATAGAATCGTTGATGGCGTGATGGGTGGAATTAATGAATTTACTAGTGACATCCTCTCTCGCAGTGTTCTCTCCTCGAAGTTTTTGAGATCTAACGGCATCCATTTTAGCCAATTAATTCGCATTAGAGCCGAAGTTAGCTGGCCAATCTTCGCTTCCATTTGATTTCGATGGCCTGGCATCCTGTGTAGTGCTACTACTGTCTGTCTTGAGAGCCATGGGTAACATGCCGTCGCCATGGTCCGGCTTTTCCTCCCTAATGTTCTTCTCTGTGGTGTGAACTGCGTGTCTATCATGAACGGAACCACAATCCTGACCGTCCTTTGAGAATACCCTTGATTCACTTTGCTGAGTTTGCCTCTCCTTGCTCGAGTCGGGAAGGAAGTATTCCGGACGTGAAAAAGTGCGATTGCCGTGTGTCAAGCCATTTGAGTCGAACCAAAGCGCATCGATGCCGCCAATGCACAATTGAAGCCTTCCAGTTACCCCTGCGGCAGCATCGACGGGCGCCGGGGAGGCAGCTACCCACATGGTATCAAACAATTCACCTGCTACGTTTTCGTCACGTGCAGGCTCCGATCCGGAAAACAATGGCAATGTGGAACTCGTAACAGGTTGAGTTGGATGCAGCCCTGCTGAAAGCGAAGTGTCACGCGGGTTGAGATCAGCATCGCCTGTGGTTGAAACATTTTTATGTGACGGCGACATTTTAGACACTCCCTTGTGGTCCACCGACTTAACCTTTTCTTCATGATCTGTCTGATGTTGGTTGTGTCCCATAGTATGTATTCGCTGGGTTGTGGGAAAGATCACTTCACCCTCTTTTGACGTACCAGCTGTTGGTCTACCTTTAGTTCCCGGAAGTTCAGTGGGCATGGCGTAGTATGTGGTCTTAGTAATTGTCTCGGATTCGGCGTTGGCATTGGAGATAGCCGGTAGCGCCATCATAATGCACTTGGATTGATTCATAACTGCCGGAAATGCGGACTTCGCAAAATGCTGTGATTGATGTTTGAAAGACGATCGGCTCGCCGCTACTTGTGGAGATACTGTCAGCCCTTTTGGGGGCAACTCAAGGTTGCGACCCAAGGCAGCCTTTCGACTCGGAACAGTCGCCGCACTTGACACCTTTTTCGAACACGCATTACCCAAGGGTAATAAACATTCGTAATCTGCATCGCGCTGGCAATCTGACTGGGGCAACATGGCCATATCACTGACGTCACGTCCCCACCTCGGTGGGCGAGGTTGTCGCATAGCGATTGATCTTCCTTTGCTGATCTTGTGCTCCGACCATGCGTCCTGATTGTCTTGATTTCTGCCATCCCCTGTGCTGCGAGTCGCATCCAAGGCAGCAAGAGCGGTTGAAGGTGTGTAGAGAAGTGGATGCGGATTCCCATACACTTGGCTAGCCTTTATGAGCGTCGCGCTAAGGGGGATGTTACCGAGCGCATTACTGTTGATCATACCGTTAGCTCCCGTGCGGGATCGCTGCAGTGAACGATTATGCTTGTTGGACTGGTAAACCTCTTCCTTCGCGCCAGGGTAGGGTGTTGGGTCCAGCCGCTCTACAAGCTTTGTCCAGCTGGTGGTGTCGCCACGAAAGGTGATGGTTAACTCCTTTTTATTCAGCTCCATTGTACCGTGACGTGTGTGTCCAGGCTTCGGCTCCACCAACAGCTCCTCTAACTCTTGTTCACGAGGATCTAAAGGCTGTGGTGGTGCTGTTAGCAGCGTGCGATGCTGCTTAAACACACCACTCTTGCGAAGTGAGGCACGCACCGCACGGTACGTTTCCACTACGGCCTTCGTCATGGGATGATTAATCCCCAGAAAGTCCTGTGTCGCCTTCATGGCGTTTCGAAAGATCACTAAGGTATTGGAACGTTCACTTTGGGCGTCTTGTTTTCGTATGGCATAGCGTGCAGTATTTAACTGCGCAACAGCAAGATTATGCCACGCAGCGCCCCACAACGTTTTATTATCGGATTCGGCAATGGTAAGCTGCCCGACATCATTCAACAACGTCTCGTCCTTATCTTCTTTCTCACCCTTGTGGGATTTCTTCGCAAGATTAGGGTCAGGAATGTTGGTGCCAGAGTTTGAAGCACCTATCAGTATGTTCTTACCCTCCTGCTGAGAGATCTGGAGCTGACGTTCCTTCTTGCGAGCAATTTTTCTAGCCTGTTGACGCTGTACCTCCAACGTGCGTAGCATATCGATAGCCTCTAGCGCCGCCGCAGTCGACTTCTCGTAGCTACCAAGAGCATTATAGGCAGCACATGAATTGAGCGCGACAGATGGCGACGCTATGTCATGATTTTCTTCGAGTTGTCTTGCCGCTTCGAAATGACTAAGGGCGTGGCGTGGCTGGCTTCGATGACATTCCGTGACTCCCATATTGTTTAGCGTCATCGCGCGAAGCTGGTCCAGCAACCGAGCATCCGTCAGCAGGTGTTCGTTGATATTGAGCTTACTGTAGGCTCCGTTCAGCAATTCCATTGCTTCCTCTAGCATACCAGTTTTACCTTGGTGCATAGCCAGTGTGTTTATTGCTAGTATATCGTGCACAAGGTCCTCAGCCGCAACGGATTGAGACTCTTGACCTTGAATATCCTCGTGCGACACTTGGGGTACATTTAGGGTGCTGGACAAGTCACCATCAAATTTATCTGACAGCTGCACATTTTGTGCAGCAAACCCTTCTGAATCCCTCGAGTCGAGACCCTTCAAAGATGGCTTCACAAGGTTAGAATTTGTTTTTATTAGACCAAAAGTGGAATGTCCTTTCTGCGAATTGGAAACGAGTTCGCATCTAGAGGCGGCAACACCGGCCACAATCCTTTCTGATATGGAAGGTCTTGTGGAGCGAATGGACGCACCGCCTGGGGTTGTTGCGGTTTCCAAATGCAGTGGCGAAGATGAATGCGCCCACCCGCTTTTTGATGGAGCTGTGTGAGTAGGCACGGAAACACCTAGCATTAGTTCTATTTTCTTCAAAAGCAAAATATGTCTTCCTATCTTCAACCTGAGTTTAGATAGATTTAAGTGAGGTATAGAATAATAGTGAAAGTATGCAGTTTTATAAATAAAGCAAAAAATCATGACTGATCACTATAAGGATCTGTATGAAACGCATAAAATAGTCGGTCGGGTGAGCAACCTTTGGTTATGATCTACGCAGAAGAAAAATATTAATAAAAATAGTGCAAAAAGTCTTTGCTTTATTATTCAGATACTTAAACTAAGTATTCACACGTACATACCACTAACATGATCTAAGTTTTTTTTTTAAGTTGTGTGAAAAGCACCTCCTCAAGTTTTAGCTGCTTCACAACATAGGAAAAAAAAAACTAACAGTGGAGGTATTACAGAAAGGATGGGAGGTGACCTCATATCTCGTACCCTTTTTTTTGAGGTTGAACAAAAAACAAGAGCATGTACAAGGATCTAATTGAATCTAAAGCAAAAAACCTATTCTGAATCACCAATTGGCCTACCCATTAGCAACAACAGAAAGTGTATAGCCCTCCTTCTCGATCTCAAAGAATCCTTTTTATGGAAACTATTAAAGATAAAAATGCGTTACACCAAGCAACTAAACAATGACATGCTTCACACCCCATCACCACGCATTGATTAATAGTATTTTGTAAAAGGAATACACGATCTTCGTAATGTCGCATCTGAAGCCCTACTGTCCAGGACCTTTTTCCTCTACGCCCATTCATTTTGTTCTTATCAAAGTTAGTTTCGGGAAGCTAAGCGACTATATGGGGAACCCACAGAGGCCGAGTGTACCGCCTCAATAAGGGATTCAACTCGCTGCTGCATCACCATCATCCGCGAAAGCCGAGAGCGTCGCTGTCGATCTACTCGAAGGTGATCGGTGTGTTGATGAGCTACTTGAGAAGCTAGTTCTAAATCTTCCTCCAACCGTTTACGCTTTTGGCCAATCTTCTCAAGGAGGAGTGTCGAGCTGTAGATCTTCATATCACAGCTGAAATCATCGGCATATTTGTCAAGTACGGAGCATAATTCGCCCCACTTATCGTGGTACAGATTTTTTTCCTTTTCCATCCGCTGAACCTCAAGCCGAAGATTATTAGTCTTGGTCTCTAATGATGATATTTCGATGCGTATTTCTCCAATGCGGTGACCATTTTGTAAATCTATGTGAGATATATCCTGCTCTAATCGAGTGATCGCCTCATCCAACCGTTGAACCTCCCCAAATCGCTCTGAGGTTGTGTTATATGCATCACGGGCAGCATCCATTTCTTGCTTTGATGCCGTCCCTTCATGTTGAACTCGGCTATCAAGTTCTTTTGTTTGTGCTTCGACTTCAGCTAATATTTGTTTTCGAATGACGCCTGTTTCAACTAGAATTTCTTCGAGGGCATCTCCAACGTTGCCCACATTGTTGAGAAGCCAATTTGAGACAGTATGGTAAAAATCGCTCACTCCACGTGCATAATGTGCGCGCATCATCCGGTCACGCTGCTGTCGCAGCCTCTCCAAATTCACACCGGTCTCAAACAGCCAACGCGGGGTCTGCGAATGGAGAAGCATTAAGACCTGGTGGATACGCGTGATGTCGTTGGCGAACTGTAGCGCTGCGCAGGTAGATTCGTACAAGTCTGGGCGTCCACAAATGGTGCTGATGGACACAAGTGTGACGTGGCCTACCAAGGCAGGCTCTAGCAGCGTCGTGAGCTTGTGGCTCTTGAAGTTGGGGTCGCCCTCGTCGGAGAGCCCTGCCACACGACGTACCGTCTCTACAACGTGAGCCACCTCCGAGCACAGCGGTGTGCGGAAAGCAGCCATGTCGACAAACGTCAAAGTCGACATGGATCGCCTGCCGCTGCCGTCCACGGGGGCGTACACTTGGAACTGAATAATACATGAGGTCTCAATGTGCTTACGTTCTGGTATGACCACCACCCGCGCAGCCGCTTCGCCTGCTTCATGCTCTTTGCTGTTCGAATTCGCAGGGTCGACTCCAAGCAACGGCTCTAGAAGACGCATGTAGGGAAGTGGAACGGAGCCAAGTGGAGGTGGAAACTCATGTATCTGAACGGGCTCCCCAGTGATTGTATCCACCATGTTTGACCCGCGGGTTGTAAAGGCTGAGAAAGTTACGACAAGTCCACCACTGTAATAATCAGCGCCAATGTTGGAATCTTGCGGACTAAATGTTGTGCTTACGTTTTCCTTATTTTCCGTTGCGCTGTTTTTTTGATACCCATTCAAATTAACTTTGTTCATCACGGACTCTTGTTGTTGCTGAAATTGGAAGGCAGTCTTTTCACATGCAGAAATACGCGCAAGAAAGTCCAATGCGGCAAGCTCCACAAGACCTTTTTCGCGGCGATGTGGGCTACCATACATAGTTTGGCTGCGGCCGCTTTCCTGGGGGCCCGACACAAGAAAAAGATAGCACTGGCCAGAGCAACAATTTGAGATACAAGGAGCGATGACGTCATCATAGAACACCTGAGTGGTGGTGTCTCGGTGGACTCTTGATACGGTAAAGGGCCGTGACCATGACGATGATGCATCCCTTTCGGCACCTGTCGTCCTTGTCGGGGTATCCTCTCGAAGATTGGCGACGTGATCCACGGGATGGCGTAAACGCAACGCAGTGTAGCTAGAAGAGGTGGATACATTTTCCAGATAAGACATCACCCTTACATGGCTTTCGACGCCTTTAAGAATATTTTTTACAGTTGATATCGGGGAGAAAGATCGATCACGTCGACAAGGATTTCTCACTGCAGGAGAAGCATTGCGTATGCCTGTATTATCTTGAGACTTTGGGCAGCTATACATACGCATTTTTGGAAAAGAGTTGTTGTTTTTGTCCTTTTCTCCTAAACAATGGGAAGAAGCTTTGATGGAACAAAAGAATGCAAAAGTCTTTCATTTGTCACAGGTTGCGCAAGTGGGTCATTTTCAATAGTGCTAGTAATAAGTCAAAATATACAACCAGGTTTTATCCTTCCTGTTCACTCCTTCATAAACGTTGCACCACATGGGGGAGTATAAGGAAAGGGAGAAGGACAGAAACGCAGCGGAATACCCTAAACATGCTAGCGAAAACCCACGTGAACGTAAAAGTTTTTTTTGATTGGCTAGCTCACCATTGTCGGTAAATGTAACGTGATAATAGGTGGACAAAAAGAATTTCTACCGATTAAAACGTAAGAGTTCAAAATCAGAAAAATCTCTACTCGTAAACTGAAATGAAAAAGCAAGATTTGCACGGGAATGAGATGACATCATCTCCTCATGCCATTTTTTGAATCCTTTTAATTTTTCAAATACTGTGGGGTAATGAGCAATTTTCACGATTTTTTTTCTTTAATACAGGAAACATACTCATACTAGAAAGGGTAGAAAAAACAGACGATAAATAGTTTGATATAGTCTAGCACAAACAACTCAAACAATAATGAATGATAAAAGAACGGGGACGAAGCATTTAGCGTAAGAGTTTAAGAACTCAATTTTCACAACGTTACTGAAGTTTTCCCTTTCAGATCATTTTCGTTTCCCTATATTTCCACTTATCGTCATGACTTCATACCATTTTACTTGTGTTCCCTCAGAGATTAGTATGGTAAAACTATCTTTATAGTGACTATCACGACTATATTTTGATAAAGGAAATTTCAGTTTCAACGATTGTAAGCTAGACCGGTGGAGCGGCCTAGTCAAACAACGCTAAATGTATCCCTTTTTTCTTCAAAAGGGGTACTTTTCGACGAAAAAACGTGATAAAGCACCCACCGACTGACAATTTGATGACAAAATTGTCAAGAAACAAATTGCTATCTTTGTGTATATATGTGCCTAACTATCAAGCCAAGATGTTCATTTTTGTTTAATCCCAGTATCTTTCAATCTACTTGACGGCGCGGATAGGTACAGCGCAGGCGCTTTTTTTCTCGCGAAGAATGAGCCCCTGCAGATTGACGCCGCATATCAGAGCAGCCTACGATTCCTCCAAGTCTAGAATCCTTTATAGCCATCGAAGCAGAAGCCTTGCACGAAAAGATGCATGGTGGACGATGTGTGATGGGAGTGCTATCATCACCTTTGGTTGTTTTTCTACCAGAGCTTCTATGCCTTGCATGCTGACGGGACCGTGCAGACGAAGGGGCAAGTAAAAGTTGTGTATTGCGTTGCGGGTACCAAAGAGGTGTTCTACGTCCGCTACTGAGAGGTACAGGGGTGCCTGATCGATTCCTCAGCCTTTGATTTGAGAAAATCAAGCTCGCAGAATGGGGTTTCCTCAACAACACGGGGCGAGACAAACTACGACAAGGTTTGACAAGACCTGGTGTACTCTGTTGAGATTCTGTCAAATTTAATCTATTGTGATAATGCTGTGCATGTGGATGCATGTGTATAGTCATGAGACGGTCAGTTTGAAGCGAAAAATGCTCTAATTCTCTCTTTGTACCGTTTATATTATCACCACCATCAACTACATCAGTCACAAGACGTGGAGTCTCAGCTGATATGCTGCCAGACCGCATACGCCGAGCCACAGGAACCACTGTTTTAGGAGCCTCATGGAGCTTACCAGTGCCTATATATTTTTTAAGCTCACCTAATCGATGTGCGAACGTTTTATTGCGTTCATGCAACATAGATTCGTACCATTGTGTGGTATAGAGAAAGTTACGGAAACCATCAGCCAGTAAGCGTTGCAATGTCGAAACATCGGTGCATCTGTTCACATCAATTCCATAAAATTGTTTCAGATTTTCTTCAGCAAGCTGTTGTAGGTCTAGGCCCAAATGAGACTTGCCTGGGTGTAATGTGGGATGAACACGTTTAGTCGGCGTCTGATGCGGTGAAATATGTTCCGGTGATGGCAAGTAACGCAACGTCAAGGATTTTTCGCAGGGCGAAGGGTTACGTTGTCCTTGACTACTTTCATCACAGATAGGACTGGTTTTGGTATGCAAGTTGCTTAGGTCTAAATCCAAAACCCCTAGTGCGAGATTCATGGCCGTGATAAATGCTTCTTCCCTAATTAAAACTCCACTTTCTTAATCCCTTGAATCTCTAACATGCCACAAATCAAATCAGCTACAGCGAATTCCCAATGAAACGATGATTTGCAGAATGAATATAAACTTTATTGGTAGGACTATAATTTCTGTTGTAAGCCGAAAAAAGTTAACTTACGATTGTCTATTAGGCTTAGGATTCAGGAAGGAGGAAAAAGTGAAATGTTGATTAATAAAGGATAAAAAAGATGCTAGGTCACAGGAATTTATAAAATTAATTTTTTTCGTTTTAGATCAAATAATAAT